TATATATATATATATATATAGCTATAAAGCTTCTGTGTTTTATACAAGTAATGCTCTGATTCTGAAGTCAAACAACAGCTTCTCTACCAACTGGCCAGCTGTAAACAAGCCCTACAATTTTCTAAGCACCAGCAGCTATGCTGGTAGATAGATGGAAAGCAGAACAGAGCAATAAAAATCTGGATCTTGCCAGTCCATGTCGGAATTGCTGTTCTTGGTCAACTCAATCCTTTGACAGCTTGGGCCTCATTATAAAGCGAGTGGCAACAGTTATTGGGAGAGATCTTTATTATGCTTAATCCCTTCCACGCAATGCTACCTTTCAGTTGCATATCAAATGCAGCTTGCTGTAGTCAAAAACTAATTTAACGTATTTCATCGGCCACCTTTTTATTGCTGTGAGTAGTTCCATTCTGAAATCTTTCCTCAATATAGTACTAAAGTAATAGATTCTACTTACTTTAAGTAGAATTAATTTGATTCCTTTCAACAGGAACATTGACTCAAAAGTCTTGGAATGACTACAAAAATGGGTAATACTGCTAAGAACTTGAAAAAGGCTGCTGGAAACCCTTGCTGACATACCAAATAATCTAAAGGTACAAGCAAGTCTCCCCTCACACTGTCTGAGCACAGCGTACATGCGTGAGTACCGAGTGCTATTTGACCAGTAATTCTGAAAACAAACTTGCAGCTAACTGAGCCTGTCTGAAGCTTCTCTTCAACTCCAGCTCAACTGGAAAATACACTGGCCAATACCTACTTCTTACGAAAGTAAATAAAAATTTACTTTTATGAGAGAAAATTTAGAAGCTTCAAGTTTTATCTAAACTGTTAACTGTGAGAACTATGGCCAGTTTTACCAGGTTTGACATAAAGTGTTCTCTGACACCTAGTTTAGGGCCATAATTTGATCAGCAGGTGCCAATGTGATAGTGCCAGTAATACTAAATACACCTAAGAAGTGGAAAACCCCATCCGCAAACTATACTGCACAATTGTATATACTGCATATAAAAAGAAAACCAACCAAGAACAATAAAAAAGCTGATGCTATACCTCCATCATTTCCAACTTGTCAGGATATGCAAGATCACCAGGAGCAGGCTTGTAGCCTGTGATATCAGTCTGAATGTAAATATGTGTCCTATAGACAAGACGCTCTTGTACATCTTCTAGCATCTGCTTGACACCAGCTGCAAACGCACCCAGTTGTTCAGCTGACAAAGGTAAAAAGAAGGCACCAATTTCTTAATTCAATTACAAAACAAGCTTATAGACACAAAAGTTTGAAGTATCACATATAGAACTGTCACAAAATTGGCTTGCTGCAGATGAAGTCAGACTATTTTTGGAACAGCGGCGTGCAGACAAATCCGTGACAAACAAGGAATTACTGAACTCCATATTGCATTTGCTTCAGCTCCCAAATTTTCATTAGATTGTGAAAACGCGAGCTCACATTTATAACATCAGATGCCACATTAGAATTAAGGATTCTAATTATTGAGACCTGGGTGCGTCAAGTGGCATTTCTGCCTGGACCCCGCACCAACGTGCTTTGGCTCTATCACAGCCAACGCCTGCAGTGTGACTGTTGGCAGCTGACAAGCTAACTCATCTACCCACCTACCAGAACACACGATCCAAAGCTGCTCATGTCCAGCTTAAGAACTGTTGCATCAGCCTAAGTAGTAGAAAGTCACTTCTTAAGATTAACCAAAACATTATGTCACCAAGTTTTGCCTCGTTCCCAACAGTTATAATTCTATTTCTAGGAAAACAAGCAATTTTTCATAATATTGGCATAGCTTCAGAGACAAAGAGCTACGCTGTGTTATATATCAGCTACCAAGTATGATTTCTGTTTATCGCTTGGTGCAAGGTTAAGACTGCAAAATAATATATATCAGCTACCAAGTATGATTTCTGTTTTATCGCTTGGTGCAAGGTTAAGACTGCGAAATACTTCCATTACGCATTGGTCATGCTAAGGCAATGAGACATAAAACTTTTTTCCTGATGGTCAGCTCACTTCCATGAGGCTATGAGCACTGAACACTTCCAAAACTCTAAAATCTCTACCAGCTACGTAACTCCTCTGCTGAAGTTATCATTTCTAGTCTGGGAAACACTACGTCAAGGAGAATGAAAAAATCAGGTTTGCATTCTTTTGTTTTATCATGACGTATGCAGAAAGCTCTACACGGACGATGCATTAGCAGGGCCAAGTGAAGCAATTCATCCATTTGAAAAGTTCACTTAAATCAATGCTGGTGCACATATAGGCATCGGGTGGATGCTTGTTTGCATTTGTACAATCTAGAGAAAACAGGATTCTAACATCAGTATATCAGTATATTAATTTAAATGAAAATATACACAGACCCATAAATACAGACCTTTCTATTATAAATGAAAATATATAATTTGTTCAAAATAACCTTACTTCATCTTTGACACTTTTAAGACCCGTTAGAAAAAAAAAAAAGACTAGGGATTTTTTTGCCTATGCAATTTAGTAATTTTATCAGTTAAGATGACAGTTAAAAACAATCAGGTTCCATCTATGAGTTACCGTTATTTTGTACATGATCTTCAAGCATTTCATTTTTGAGAATCCCGCAGAGTTCAGAAAGCGTCTCTAAGTGAATGACGTGGATGATCATTGGCCTCAGGACATCATACAATGAAAGACACAACTTCTCCAAGAGTTCGCTATGAAGAAAAAAATAAAACAAAGCAAAACACTTTCAGGATCCTGCAATGCCAAAATAAAATTCTATCACAAACACAGATTACTTTATGGCAAAGATTTTTTAAAAGGAGGGTGAAAAAACAATGCAATGTGGTATCATACAAGACTTAAGAACTGTTTAAAACACAAACACCTCATTTCCTACAAAGTCTTTTCAGAGCTGTACAACACCAACTGCTTAAAACAGTGGTATCTGAATTCGTTTTAAAATTTAAAACAAACAAACAAACAAAGGAACAAACCCCAAAAACCAGCCAACAACTCAACATGTCACAAAGGGAAGATACTGAAAACTGGTTTACCTGGCTTCTGTGAAAAGAAATGCTCCTGCCGAGCTCAGAATCATACCCCCAATTTCCCCCTGAGAAAAGGCTCATCTGATTCCAAGAACTCAATAGTTTATCAGAACCAGGAGCACACGAAGAGGGACTCAGGAGGATGAGCTTGGTAACCTTTTCTGTAACAACATGCAACACTGCAGGCCACACTTTCCAATCTAACTGAAGTTACAACATCAATGCAATATGAAACATCAGAAAGCCCACTTTGATTTTTTTTCTTTCTTTGGTGTTCAGTGATGCATGTCTTGGTTAAGACACCAGTAGCATTCATTTTTGCCATTCTCAATGTTCCTTCTCTCATCACAGAGTAGCTATTAATGCTGTTTCCAGTAGCTGAAAATTCAAGCAACTCCCTAGTTAGACTTGGAAATACTGAAATACTTAAAGTGTGGTACAGTTGTTGAGTTTATTGCACTGTATTTTTTTTTTCTAATTCACGAAGAATGCCTGACAATAGGACAAGGACATGTCAGTTCCTTTCAGAGACTGGAAAAAAGCCACTCAATAGAATGGTCACAGAAGAAACGTTTTGAATGTCTCTGTTCTGTTGTATTCTATAGCTTTACAAGCAACTTGATAAAACAGTAACATGTTAAAAGCAGAAACAAAGGAGAAAGTTTCAACACCATTATTAAACACAACACTCAAGCTCAGATCTCTATTCCTGGCTAGATTATTGGTAAACTCTTCTCTGTACCTAGACACATAGCTATTATGTCTTCAGAGCACCTCAGCATTTCAGAAAAAAAAAAATGAGGCTATTTATTATGCAGCTAAGAAAGACCTAAAAGTAGTTACTATTTGAAACATATTCCTCAAAACATTTTATTTAGATGTAGACAAAAAGAAAGGAAGCCTGTTCTTCCAAAGGGAGGTACCTACTTCCCATCAAGACTGAAAAATAATCAGCAGTCCATTCTCATTCTGTGACAAAATTTCTGTGTGAACAACATTTTACACTGATTTCAATTAGGGATGTTTACTTCAGGATTTGGACTGAAGTAGCTAAATCGGTTCTTAAGCCAATTTAGTTAGGTGACCTCAAATCCTGAGCAAGTCTCACACAAGACCTCAATTTCTCAGAAGAGAGAAAGGCGGCTGCTGCTACTCTGACACTGGGGCTTACTTCTAGTGAGGTTTTATGCAGTTATGCTTTTCCTTTAGCTTTAGAGGACAGGCAGGGATAGTGGGTAGTATTTTTTTCCAGGTTATACTTATTCAACTCAAGCTGCACTTGATTTTAAGATAATACAACACTCAAAACCAGTGTCTCAGTTATATTAATAGGAACAAAGTATATTTATGAACTTCATCGCAAGTGGACATGACTTGACCAAATTTCAAAATTAAGCACCATTATTAAAACATACCAGCAAATTGGGGAAGGGGCATAATCTATCCAATAGCTCTAATATTACAGGTTTGTTGTAAAAAAACCCAAAACTTACAATACTTTTATAATGCAATTACCACGTGAAGACAACAGGCTGTCCCTCTTCTAGGCAAAGCAGATACAGGTATTGTTCTTGCCAGGTGTCCACCACCCCGCCTTCCGTTCAGCCCACACACAGGCACATGCAAATATGCCTGAACAGTAACGGCAGCTCACTAAATTCTTGATGAAAAATAGCTGGAATTCATTAGCGTAATTTTACACTGAAGAAAAGCACTTCTGCAACCAACTGTCCAAACCACTGGCATAGAGGCAGTACAAAAACAGCTGAGAGCTTTAGGGCTGTAAACTTCTACAGCTACTTCCAAAGCAACTGTGTGTCTTTATCTCTTTCCGACCATCTACAGAGCCTTTACATTACTCAGATTTTTTGTGGAGAATGTATATGCAGAATGTAAACTCTCAGCGTTGCTTGAAGAAAAAAGAAAACAAAAGAACATCAAATCCTGATGCATAAAGTGATTAAGGGTTTTTTTTCTTGCTGGTTATTACCAAACCATCTCAATATCACCCTGTTTGCCACATAACATTGTCTGCTATATCACAACACACAGTAAAACAAAACCAGCATGTACCACCTACTCCAGTTTTGGTGTTGGTTTTGTGAAGAACTCATTGTAAAGCTGGTGTTCATCCTGGCATACGTGGACCATAAAGGCACAACCACTTCGTACCTGTATTCATAGAAATACAATTACTTGATTATCAAATTGTTTTCCTTGCATCAGTACCACAGGAGGTATTACAGATATTATTATATATAATTAAATTACATATTGTATTATTATTACTACAACTATGACTAAATCGAAACTTTGTGAAATTCGCACTTACGGAGAGCAACTATAAAACTAAGGACTGAAAAGATGTTACTAGCCAAATAAAAGCTCACTGTGCAACTTCCGCCCCTTTTCGTTTCCAATGAAATTTAAGTAACCACATTTTACCCTTTTGCAAATACCCCTTTGTGAGGTTTCTAGCAGAGCAGAGTTTTCACAGAATAATCTTCCACAAAGCATGCATTACTTGAAAATATTAGTAAAATTTTGATAATTCAAAACCACAAACAAAAGTGACAATTCCACATGTAAATGACTAATTAAATAAGTATATTCTACTTGGGGGAGGGGGGATTAAAACATAACAAAAAACCCCACGACACATGACTACTTTACCTACCAGAGCACAATGATCTCTGTTGTTCTGACTGGTTAATTCTGTAACAGTGCTAGCGATACTCGGACCAAGCAAAAGCTCCCTCTGGTCGAGGTAACATTGATGAATTTCATTGAGAACTTGTTGATACCTGGCCAAGAAATTAAAACAGTAACTGCACAAGGAATCTCATTTTCTGTTAAATTTAAAATTCTTTCTAATAGCCTCTTCTAGGTCTACATAATTTCAATTTTTAAAACTTTCTTTTAAATGAATAATGTGTTAATACTTAAAAGCAAAGATTTTCAAAACTTAAAATTGTTGAAAATAAATTATGTAGACATACTCACTCTGGCATTTTTTCAGATCTTTGCTCTACTTGTTCAATAAGAGTCTATTCAATAAAAAGAAAAAAGTATTATCAGTAAATGATTTTTTTTTTCTAATAATCGGAAAATAGTCTGCAGTATTTTTCCATGGACACAATATGCAATCTTTGGACATTCACACTTGTACAATATGCAATCCTTGCATTCGCATTACTAACAAATTCAAACCCCATTTTCATAGCTTCTTTTTTAAGGGTTAGTTACCAGCCTACTTACTCTGACTTTGGGAGCAGCTGCTCTGAATTTTACATAGAACAGCGTGAAGGCATTGTCAGAATTTGGCACAGCTGAAGGATCCTGAAAGAAGAGATGAGTAATTGGTTAAAAAAGAAAACACTATAGTTGGCTTCTAGTATTTAATGGCTGAGATAATTAGGCTCTAAACCAGGGTATTGGTTCTTTATGCTTATACTGCCATTGGAACAGCTCTTTGTCATCTTCCACCTAGAAAGGCACACTTGTTTCAGAATTCTGATAAAGCCAGATGGAGGAACAAAACCCAAACCAAAAGTTTCAGCCAACAGTCTCTACAGCAAAAGTAACATTTTCAGTAATTATGTCATTCTCCATTAGAGACAATAATTTTCTCTGGACCTGCCACAGCAGTACTGACTGTTGCTCCTTAATCTGTAGTACTAAAATGGAACAAAATTTCCTTTTTATCTGCCAGTCCCAGGGTGGAGATGCCAAGTTTCAGCTCACATTCAAGCTTCGACTGGAATGTCAAGTTTTGAGGCAGTTGCCCCTACAGCTCCCCAGCTTAGCTGGGCAGACAGCCTGAACTCAAATTCTAGCACTAGCGAAGCAGAGCAGAGACGCAGTTTAGCCACCAGGCTTTCTTCCCCGTATCCCTGCTGATGACAGAGACAGAAGTGAAGGCCTTCCCGTGAAACATGGTGGGGACAGGAAAACTCTTCCCCCTTCCCCACCTCCTACTTTCACCCCTATAAGCATCCTGATCATCCTCCTACAAACACAGATCAAAACACCCAACACTCACATCTGATGACAAAGAACATCTAGATCTCCTCAGTCCCTTTGCATGTTATGTTGCAATAGGAAATGCCAACACTCGATCAGAACTAAAGACCGCTGGTCCAGTACTGCACTTCTAGCAGAAGCAGACACTAGATGTTTCAGAGAAATATGCAAAACATCCACAAAACACGCACGTAAATGGGAAGGAGGAAGTCACCTGTCCCCTAAAAGAGGTCGTCTTCCTGACTTAAAAATGCTAAGCAGCCATTCAAATCCAGAAATAAGACTTCACTACTGTCTGTACACATGATTATTACCAGAGATGTTAAATTCTGCTTGAATTCAGCTCAGTCACGGCAATCCACTGGCATCACAACAAGCTATGACATTTTTTTAAAAATAAAAACTACTTTTGTACCAAACGTGAAAAATGTTCAATGCCACTTAACCAAGATCTTCGCTCCAGGAGTATTCTTTAGCAAGTTTCCATGAACACTGTCTAAAATCCCCTCCTTTTAGATCTGTCAGTTCTCAGCTCTAGCACCTTTCAATCTCACTGGTTACCCCTCATGCCAAGTTTGCCTGCAACAGGACTGAGCACAAGGCATACAACAATTAATCAGAGAAAGAAAGCAAGCAGGTAGAAAGAGACATTCCCCTCTGCCAAAACATCGCAGCATGAGACAACTAACATTTTAATGAGACCAAAAAAACTCCCTACTCACCTTTATGCCTAAACCCCACGGGAATGAGTTGGAGTGAAGCACCTAACTCTTCCCTGTGACTTTCGAACATTGCTGTCAGCATTTTAAAACTAACCAAAAGATACTGCCAAAACTAGCATGAACCTGCCACAGTTATTCTCTGCAGCTACACAAAGCACTGTAGACTTAGCAAAAAGAAATATTTAGATAACCAAGAGCGCCCAAAAATAGTTACTGGAGAAAGTCATGTCATGAACTCTTGTGAGTTTTTAGAAAGTTTTTCATTTTTTAAAGAAACACTTCTTGTGCTTTAACAGTTTTCATCCTATGACACCCAGCTCCTGTATATTTTCTTCAAGCATTCCCTGCAAACTCTCTCTCCATCTCTCACAATCCTTCTCCAAAACAGACCCCCACAGTACTCATGTGTCTCTTGTGCACCCTCCCCATTTGGCAACAGAGATAGCAGTGGGTGCTGCGGTCGATTCAGAGCGACAGTGCACAAACTGGTTCAGGAAAGCATGCTGTCTGGCCAGCTGGTTGTTGTCTCTCTAACTCATTTGTTTATCCATCCCTGGCCTTCCCTGAGCTTCCTGTTCACCTACCTCACCTACTTCAATTTCTAAGATTTTTTAATTATTACTATTTTTAAATCTTTTGGATCACTAGGTCTCTGTCAGATTCGGCAGAAACTTGGCCAGTCTACACAAACACTGTGGCACAGAACTGACCTATTTTCACACAAAACTGCTGACACCTCCCACCCTCAAAAAAATAAAGAGAGATCAAAACTCCGTAGTGTTACAGTAGACACTTCAGTACAGCTCAAGTTACCACTTACTGATTCACCTTACCCTTTTCATTAACTGGCTTGTGAGGTTCTGTAGTGTATTCACAGTGTACGTCTTGATAAGGTGCATAGCTTTAGAAAGGCATTGTTTAAACTTAATCAAATATACAGGATAGTCTTTAAAATTTGGCTGAAAGAAATAAAAAAAATCCACTTTAAATGAGAATAATAAGAGAGTCAAAAATTTATCAAAGCTTAAATACTCTTTTACTAGCTAGAAATGCTAGTTTGTACCAACTAAAAGCAGTATTGCATAAAAATTAAGCAGAATATTAAGCATATTCAGTAAAAATTCCTTAAGTTTATAAACCATCATCTTTGTTTTCTTATTGTATTTGGCAGAGAGAACGTTTTATAGGGGAAAAAAAGAAACACCACAAAACCAGTATGAATACCTAGTTTTGAAACTAGTAAGATTTAACCAAAACCAATACAGAATTACTTACATGTGATGAAATATATGCAATACAATCATCAAGCTTAGCCAGCATGGGAATGAATCCTTCACTGTTCACGGACAGCGTAGGGGAATTCAGTTTCTTTGGAAAACAAGACAAAGCATCATTGTAATGCACCCAAGTTACTTAAGTGTTGGCAACAAAGTTCAAAAGATCGGTACGCTTTCAATTTCTAAGACTAGTAACAGTGAAACAATACTTACTGTGTTGATGTTTTCCAGCTCATTAAAATAAGAAAGTTTCTGCTGGATATTTTCAGCCAGGTCAACAAGTTCCGACTATCAAAAAACAATAAATAAAAGAAAATCAGCAACCTAGTAAGTAGTATAAATATATATATAAAATTAGTCACCCTCCCGTTCAGCTCTCAGCACACACTAGTGTTAACTATCTCTAGACAACTTGCAACTAAGCAAGTACAACAAAAGATGCACAATACAGCAGTGCTTTCATGCTCTCTCTTACCAGAGAAAGACACATTACTCTCAACAATGTATTTTAAAACATATTCTACAGGTTTGTCAGCATTTCACAGATACTGCTGCATACAAACAGCAATGCTGTCATCAGTATTACAGAGAACTGTTGAACTCCTGTATTTCAGGACTGGAGCCTTTAAAAGTCCTCCCTTACCCAGTCAGGCTAAAAAGACATGTTCATTGTATCACTGTTGGAGCAGTTCATGAGGAGAAAGAAAGTATCTGGGAAATCAGCTCCTAACTTTAAAAAAATCCTTCTTCTTGCAATAACCAGCTCAAAATACTTCTGTAAGCGAAATGAATTATTAATCTCAATAAAGTTTGCACTTGTCAGGCATCAGTTACAAAAGCTGTCCACCTCAGCTAGCCATCATTCTTGATTAAAGTGCATATCCACGCAAAATTAACATTTTTACTGCACAGTCTGACACCCTAGCTGCAGGTGAAACACACCAAAAATGAGCTCCAAAGCAAATGGAGGGATTATCATCCCATATTACAAGTTTCCCCAGCCTGAGAAAAAGCAACATTCATTTATAGTGTCTCAGAACTTTCCAGTAATTCTTCCATCAGATATTACCTGCTCTTTCAGAAGTTGTTCACAGGCCTCATGCAGCGTTCCTGTCTTCGTGGACACAAAAAGATACTGTTTTTGCAGTGACTCCAGGTGCTGAAGGGCACTGTTCACATCATTCAAGATAGCATCACACTGCTCCTGAAAGCCAGACAAGTAATCCCTCATCTGTCTAGAGAAAGAGAAATGACAGGTAACAGAAGTAAAATTTCACTTTCTGCATTTGCAAATCCAGCTGCCTGCAGGGACACTGCCACTACCTTTCCCCTTCTAGCAATAAAAGGCCACTTGCATCAAGCAAGAGGGCACAATAAGCAGATGTTTCATGACACACAGAAATAACAGAGCTGTAGGGTTTGGAATAGCCACTGCAGTAACTCCATTTCCCTGACATTCCTTATAGTGAGCCTACCCAGAAAGCAGCAGCACGCATCACAGCTAGTCTAGTGCACGCAAATACTGCCTAAATGGACGGCACAAACATAGTGACTACTGCAGGCTACTGCTAGCAGCCAAATTCTACATGCCTTGCTTCCAGCAGGGGTGTTAATTTGCATCTCTTCTTCTATACAATTTTCAGTTTCCATTTAGAAATTACTTTTACTCTCCTGAAGTAGCTGAAATTATCCAGAGGATTCAAAACTTACTGTGAGGATTGAAAGAGGCTTAAATGAAACTGATCCAGTATCTAATGTCACCAAGTTTGTCTAAGGCTCAATGCAGATATGAACTCTAAGCGGCCACTAAACATATGTCAAGCATTCAGCTTGACTAAAACATCATTTAAAATTAATTACTCTTGGACATCAGCTAAAACTTCTGAGGTCTACTTTACCACATTCAAAGCAGCAAGTAAAATCACAATTTTCTGCAGTCACATGCAACCCTTCGGTGTACAGCAGGCAAAGAACTTACTTATTTTCCTCCTGCAAACAATTACGTACTGGCCATCCTACAAACCATTCTGCATCCATGGCACACTTAAGTATCTGTGTGCACTATTATGAACATGTCAACTCACAAAGTGCAAGGGTGCTACTCTTTTCAGGTTGTTAAAGATCTGATCGTGGGCTTAGTATACGCCTAAACCTCTGCTTTTAAGAAACGTCACATCCTTAAACGTCAAGAGCAATAGAGGAAGAGAAAGACCAAAGAAAAGCAGAGAAAACCAGAAGAGGGGCATACAGCAGCATCTCTTTGTGGCCAAGGGCAACTCTGTAAAGTCTCAAAACACAAGGCAGTCTCCATAAAAGCCACCAGGAGATTCAGCTGAGCCATTCAGCTCTACTTCAGACTCTTCAGAAGTAACTACCAAAGTCAGTGGGAAGGGGTTCTTCTGAGCCTGACAGAAAAGTCAGTTCGACAAAAATAGACCGGAATGCCAAGTCTCAAAACCGGAGTGGAGCACAGTGTCAAGGAATGCAGGGAATGCAGATACAGAATCACAGCCACAGCCACTGGTGAACCGAACGGCGAGAGCAGAAATGACTACCAGCCACACCTGCTTACACAGTCTCACCTTCAGACAATGCCGTTTCGATAGCCGTGGCACTGAGAAGGCGTATGAAAGCTCTTGGATTGCCTTTGTCTACAGCCCTGTCTATAAGCCAAAACTAATTTCAATCTGTCTTAATACACTGGGCAGTTCAGAACGAAACCTGCGTCCCTTTTATCTGCTCTGCCACAAGGGCAACAGCCTTCAGGATGGGAGCCGGGCACAGGGCCTCGGGAAGCTTCAGCTGTTCCAACACATTCCCCCCGTTCCCCACCAGCTGAATCCAAACAGGTGCTAACATTACATGGACAAGATGAAGTCCTTCAAGGTTTACATTGCTTACAGTGAAAGGAACTGAGGAAGAACACGTACCTATACTTGGCACCTTCATCTTGATCCATCTGTGTTTGTACCTGAGCAAACCAGGAGAAGAACTAGAAGAGATTTTATGGTGTGAACAATACAGATATCACATGGAATCAATCAAAAACAACAAAATCAGATCTATGAAATGAAGATGAGCTTTTGTTAAAAACAGAGCTGTTTCAGAACTTAATTATTAATCAAGGAAATAAACTATAACTCTTCATTGTAGGTCCCTTCCAATTGAAATATTCTATTCCTCCACTAAACTAAAATGGGAAAGACTGAATTTCATCTGCTTTTATTTGCACAAGAACGAGGCTGCCATATTAGAAAGGAGGGGAGGAGGCACGACATTCTTCTATATTATGAGCAACATCACCTTACTGAAGGGGTGCCTTACTCTCACATAACACCCCACTCAAAATGCGAAAAGTATCTGCCACTTATGAGCTAAGACTTTTAACAATTTCCCCCCACACCCCTCGAGTTTCTTCATGCATCTTGAAAAGGGCCCAAAAAAATTAACAAACCCACCAAAAGCTAGGCAAGAGGCACAGAAACTCACAGAATTCTCTGAAGTTTACTGCAACTTGGAGGTTATTCAGCATCACTTACCTGCTGTGCTGTTTCAATTCTTTCATCCTCCATCCCCAGCATGGCAAATCCTCTCAAGAGGACATCCTCTGTGGATTCTGGCATCGCGGCCGTCAGCGTAACAGTTAGTGACTGGGATGTCAGGCTGCACAAATCTTCAATTGGAAGCTGCCCACAAAACCCCACAAACTTTAGTTAGAGAACTTACTAAAAATTAGTACATTCAGCTCAACTACAATAACACAATCCAAAGCATCAACCTGATAAAATTACAGGTGTCTACTTTTGAAGAAACAAATGCAATGGACATTTTATCTATTAATAGGGTAACACACCAACAACTACGATATCTATATATTCAGAAACATGTAACTTTTTTTTAAAGTCACAAAATATTATACAGCATTTTATGTAAGTACACATTTGTGTAAGAATAGAAACTGAATGTACATGTAGCTAACATACTGATGAGCTATAATTTCCAATCTAACTGGTTCTATACCCAGAGAAGTGCACTAGAAAAGCACTTGAGAATGTAAGAATTCAGAAAGCGTGCAGAAGCAAGACTAAACGCCACTATTGTCTACACTACATGATAACACCACTGCACAGGAATTGTCGGATTTTTTTGCCAGATATTCCGAGAAAATTCGAGACGTAAGCCAGAACCTAGTCAGGAAAGTGTTTCATATTCTTTCAAATGGTTTCTAATGAAAAAGTCAAGCTAAAAAGAAAGGCTTTTTTAGAAGACATTCAATAGCTCTCCTGAACAGGAATTACTGGCCACAATGATTATTTTTTTTTTAATCAAGAAAAATATGGGAAAAAGTAACTTGAGAAAAATTGCATTTAAGTATGATTGGAGACTACTAATTAGTTTATATGAAAGAAATTAACTCAAGAAAACAAATGTTGTTATATACTATATTAATGTAATACCCTTTTAATTCACTTGTCAAGTAAAGAAAGTTTTCTATTGCCGAGAACATCAGTAACATAAAAATAGAAAACACTACTTAAATATAAATTGCTACCTCTCTGGAAAATTACTCGCTTAGTAAAACATTCACTGCCTGGTAATATTAGCCTGGCAAAGAAAGACCTATCTTGTTCAACTTCCACATCTATCTCCCTCCCCCCCAAAACAGGCAGGACACCAGCTGGGGAGCCAGGGCTTCTCTCAAGACTACTACTGAGGAAAAGGTGAGTCCATCAGAGCCTGCTTTTTCAGAACAGCTCAGGTGCCACTGTCACAATCCACTTCAG